CTACGGTGTGATGGGAGCTCTCACACCACTGGCAGTGCATCGCCTGCGGCTGCCCTGTACCTGCAATCAAACTAGAACGATCGATAGCTGAAACCATATTCGATACTACCTGCACCAAATCAGATGACTGGGTGCCTACAGCATGCACTCTCCCTCCTTACCACGGAACACCACTGAACCGCGCAGCATGGTGATTACTGAGGTGCTCACCTCAAAATTGTTGGCTGGGACATGAGGGTGTTGAATGGGTGACCTCATATCCGCAGCTCTAGCGGTCCAGTAGGATCCCATGGTCTGCTCCTCTGGATTGATCACATCATGGTTCTGTGGATCAACCATCTCTTCTGCTTCTTCGATCTGCAGCTGTGACAGCGCCTCCTCCGCAGCCAGTCGCGACTTTAGAGCCCGCTTGAAGTTCCTGCAGGTTCGTTCAAGTTCCTAGTCTAATGGCAGTAGATCTCCCGACTGGGTACGGGTCATGCACTACCTGCACACAATCAGCAGAAGCAACCCGTGAAGGCACACAGGTGGAAGGGAAAATGCAATAAAGAAAAAGCTAGAGTAACAAATTCTCACGTTTCCCCAATAACCTAGAGGGTTCCCCGGCAACGGCGCCAAAAACTTGACACGCCAAAACACAACACCAAACTGCGACCAAGTGTAATCGCAGTCCGGGAATGTAGTAACAGGCAAGTTCAATTATCAACCCGGGGTCTAGATCTACTGCTTAGTCCGTGATGATTTATTATCTAGCAAACTAATTCGAGTGATTGTTGTTTAAAGCAAAAGCAGTAAGAAAGCAGTAAATGGTTCGGTTTTCAAAAGCAGGAAAGAGTCACTCGGGAATGAGTCCCCCTAGCCCCTTAGTTAGGTTCAATTGTAGTTCCCCTGGGTTGATTCACTGTTGATTAGACTACGGAAGATCCGACAGTAGCTTGGAATCTCTTAAGCTGACCAAGCCCTCTCAGTCTAACTACCCGGCAGACGACTAGTCTTCACCGGGATAGAAAGCTGAAGCAATAAGCACAGAACTCCACTACTGGAATTGAATTCCAGTACAAAGCAGTAAACTGGCTAACTCTCGTATAACCAATCTCCTACTATCGAATGAAGAGGCTCTAACAACCTAATCAGATTCTATCTATCTCAGGTTGCAGCAGAAATCGAGAAAAGCTGATCAGACTTCAAACAATTCAATAAACATGCATCATTCGATTAAAATCAAACAATATAATCATCCCAAGTCATTACAATCAAATCCCTAACACCAGGAACTCGGGTTCTTCATACCCAAGTGAGAGAAGGGTTCTACTCCATAGAGAGAGAGAAGAAAACAGTAATCGGATTAGTCATACTCATAATGATGAGGAAAATCTGCTCCGGGATGATGATTTCCACTCCTATGACGATCTCCAAGCTCGATTTGACAAAACCCAGCTCCAAGATAGCTTCTAGGATGTGTTCTTCGTACTTTCTCTCTCTAGGGCTCTGTTTTTGCTCTGAAAATCCGATTCCTTCACTTTTGGCTCGAAATTGGCTGAAAAACCAGAATTTCCCGACTCACACGGGCAGGCCACACGGCCGTGTGGCTCACCCATTTGGCCGTGTGAGTCAAAACGCAGCGTCCCATTAAGTTCGATCTTCAGCCATCTCACACGGCCAGGGTTGCACGGCCGTGTGGATTTCCTGAGTTGCCCGTGTTTGGCCTCGGCAAAAATCACACGGCCAGGGTTGCAAGTTGCACGTCCGTGTGATACCCAGGGCTGCCCGTGTGGCTTCCTTAGAACCTCGCCATGCGTCCGATCTTCGTCCAATCGACCCCAAACTCGCTCCCAAGCCTCCATTCACGTACTAGGACCTGAAATATCACAAACAAGCACAACCTAGCGTGAAATCAGCCTAAAACACGAGAATCAACACCTCAAACGGTGTAAGAACGGGGGTAAAAACATGTGTAATTAACGGTCTATCAACTCTCCACTTCCACCTCCACCAGCTGATGATGATGACGCCTTCATGAACGACATCGATCTGGACAACCTTGGCGACGAGTAGGCTGTACTCGTCGCCCCTCTGAGTGTGTTTTCATTTCAGACTTTTTGTGTTTGCTCCATGTGTGTGCGGAGCTTGAACTTAGTCTGTCGGTTATTTGTCTTTTTCTTTTTCTTTTGTGGATTGTCTATGTGGTGGCCATCTGGGCTAACTCTGATCCCTAACGCACAGTGTGCTAGTGTGCTCTTGATGTTTGATTCGTGCAGAACTGTCCATCGTCCCATTTGTTTCCCGCTGACTGGTCCACTTCCAGTCTCCCGGCAGTATTTCAATCCGGTAACATCGTTCCCCTTATCTCTCCCTCTGCTCCATTGAGGGCAATGTCGTGCTTAAGTGTGGGGGGGTGCTTTGTATCGGTTGGAATCTCTATATGTGTGCTTGGATCCTAGTCCGCTATCCGAATCTTAAGATTTGAGGGCTCCAAGTACTACTGTTTGTTCATATTGGCACTGTGATTTGATTGGTGAATTGAATGGTTTTCGGATTAATGCATGACAACTGCAATGTAACTAGGACAACCTATAATGATGACTGAGACGTGCAGTAGAGTTGCGTAGGGGTTCGGTTTTTCAACTGTTTGCTTACCAACTGTGACTTGGATTGATCATTTTTTCTTGACAGTCGTTTATGCATCTAGTTCAGGGAATCAGAATGAGAGATAGGGCACATAGGTAGCCATGTGAGATTTGAGCCTGCTCGTTTCTTTCTTGTGCGATAGATCCCTCTTCCATGATGTGTAGCATTCACGTTGTCACTAGCCAAGATGATGGAGGCATAGGATTAGCCCACGACCAAATTGACTGTCCTGATGTGTCATATCCCCTAGTCAGCTCTTTGAGCCGTGTGATATCCTTTCTTTCGGTCTACAATGAAAAATCACCCTTTTGCATCTTTTAGAAGGTTCCACAGAGTGGTTTTACATGGTTTCTGTTGTTTCTGCTAAATATATTGTGAAGGTTGGAGGTAGTGCTTAAAAGTTGGGCATGTGTTTGAAAAATGTGCAGAGGTGGTGGTTCTCTTAAGAAATGAAAAAAAAAAACAAAGGAAACAAAGGGAAAAAATGAAAGCAAAAGAGAGCCACCACAAAAAATCTGAATATTGCCCACTAAGTAGTGTTTCTTAGCAGTCTGGCTTGGATTTTCTTGGAAAGAGATGCGTCGAATAATAAATTAACATTTTTTATGACAAATATACGCACCGTTTTGGTTCCAATCAGTAATAAACATATAATAATTACATAAATGAATTAAATATAACTAGGTTCAACCTAATCTGGTTAAATGATGATTTATTATGGACGGTCCTCATTTAATAGCATCAATCCAGCGGCTGAAAGAGTGGCGGCACTCATGCAGTGCCTGCACCACAGAAAGCGCCAAACTTGTTTATTAATTGTAAAAGAATTTACTCTTTTTTTCGGTAATCCTCCTCCTCCCGTCCTCCTCCCAAGAGTATATACACGTCTCCGTGAGAACTTACAGAATTACTAAATCCTAGCTCCCTCCGCAATCCAAGGAAGGGCACCGTTGTCTTTTCGGACCAATAATTGTTGCCCTCTTGCGGGTATCATTTTCAAGTCACCGTAACTATTAGTTTTAGTTAGAGATAATACCTTATTTTGATCTAAACCCGATGATCCCGCACAGTGGGGAGAGTTTTTTGTCCGCAGGCGTGAGTCATCGCAAACGATGGGCAAGATGTATGGTGTCAAAAGTCCGTTGCTTTCTAAAGAAGAGGGACGCAAGCTGACGGACTTTGACATAAAAATCAATTTTTATTTGAATGTTTAAATAAAATATTTTTTACTAAATTTCGAAACAAACAGAAAATTTTGGCCTGAAATTAGAGTTGACCATTAGTAGTGATTATCAAACATTTCTTTCATCTATGACTCAATTTATTATAAAAAAAATAGAGAATATCTTATTAAGTTCTTTAATTTCAAATTAAATAAATATTTTTAGAATTTTTTCCATTTTCAGTTTTAAAAGGCTACACAATTAGTCGTTTTGACATTCATAAGTTATTCAACTTGTATATATGTTTTCTTAAGTCCTTTAATATAAAATTAGATCAATTAATATTGAAAATTTTAAATGATTCATTGTGGTAAATAATGAATAAATAAAAATATTTTTGAATTACTGATATTACCATACATTCAATCTCAATTATGAAAATATGGTGTATTACATAACATTGAAATGGATTATTAATTATTTTATTTTTCAATTCCTATTGAATCTACTATGGCATAATTTTTTTTGTTTAGATGTTATTTTGAGTGACTCTAATCATCCAAATAATATGTGTTTATATTGAAAAATTATTTCTTTTATTGTTTTGCTTAATTGTTTTTTGCTTTTTTTGTAACAAAAAAAAATAACGGCCCCCCGAACATGGAATTTTGGCTCCGCCCTGGCCACCACAAACTCAAATTCAATGTCAGGACTGAAACAAGTATATACTTTCTCAATAGCGCCAACAAACAGGACAATGACGTTAATCGTTATGTTATGCAAGATTTAAATATTAAAATTGTAAATAGCTAGTAATCACTAATGACGTGAAAGTAAATAAATTCTATGTTAATAATTGACATATATTATTTAGAGATGACTGCCAAAGGAAGTAGAGGAGGTGGAAGGAAGGAAGGATTCCATTTTAGTAGAGATTGTGGCATCCCTAGCATGCATGCGGTAAAATAATCCGATTCCATTTTAGAAGCTAGGAATTAGTCTATCCAACTTAATTAGCTCTACCCTATAGCTACACGGTTTTAGAAATAACTTCTAATCCCAAAAAGGAAAAGGTCATTATCCTCCCCTATAAGTACTAACATGACCGATCAGTGTCCCAAAACCATCCACACAACTTGCTTCGTAGAGAGTAACTACTACGTACACATCTATCCTTGCTCGTGTGCTTGATTATTTGTACAGCACGAGATGAAGAGTAGTGGCCATGGATTGTCTTGCGGGATGCTTTTGCTCATGATAATGATGTTTGTGCCGAAAATGGATGCTGCAGTTTCGTCGTCTCTCAGAATGGGCTTCTATAGACGATCTTGCCCAGCCGCCGAATCTATTGTCGCAAGAACTGTGAGAAGGGCGGTGTCTCAAAATCCCGGCATCGGTGCCGGGCTCATTAGGTTGCACTTCCACGACTGTTTCGTCCGGGGTTGTGATGGTTCGGTGCTGCTGAAATCCCTCCCCGGCGGCCCCAAAGCGGAGAGAGACCACCCGGCCAACAATCCCGGGTTGAGAGGGTTCAACGTCATCTCCAAAGCCAAAAGAAGAATCGAACGCATCTGCCCCAACACAGTCTCATGCGCCGACATTCTCGCTTTCGCAGCCAGGGACAGCTCCCAGATACTCGGACGCATCAACTACCCTGTCCCCGCTGGCCGGCGCGACGGCCTCGTCTCCAGCTTCAACGAGGTCACACCAAACCTCCCTTCCCCGAGACTCACGGCCGACCAGCTTATTCAAAACTTCGCCAGGAAAGGGTTGTCGGCCGACGAGATGGTGACGCTCTCCGGTGCGCATTCCATCGGCAGGTCTCGCTGTTCCTCGTTCTCTGACCGGCTCTACAACTTCAACGGAACGCGTGCTCAAGACACGACCCTCGACCGGAACTACGCGGCCACTCTGAAGGCCACGTGTCCAGCGAACGGCGCCAGTGATCCGACGGTGGCGATGGACCCGGCAACGCCCAATCGGCTGGACAATACTTACTACGCGGAGCTGAGAGCGGGGCGGGGGTTGCTGACGACGGACCAGACGTTGGCGGAGAGCCCGGCGACGAGGGGCTACGTGGATGTGAACGCCAGGTATGGTGTGGCGTGGGCTGCAAAATTCGGTAGGGCGATGGTGAAGATGGGCTCCATTGATGTTCTTACTGGGAACCATGGTGAGATTAGGAGGAGGTGCAGCATGATTAATTAGGAGCTAGCTAGCTATTCATATGCGATAGATTATCACTTTTCTTTCTCGTTGTTCAACCAATTCAGTACTTTATTTTTTCGTAATGTAATTATCATTCTTTATCCAGAATTTATGTTTTATTGGTTAGTAGCTTTTAATTAATCATTCTTCTAGGGATGGCAATGGGGCGGGTTTGCCTAAACCATCCCCATCCCCATCTTCAAATACCCAAACTCATACCCGCCCCATACCCATGCGGAGAATGTTTTGCAAACCCATCCCCATACCCGTGGGTTTCGGGTACCCATGGGTAATACCCATCCCCGTATATCCAAAATTATTATACCTAAAACTTACAAGAAAATTTTTAATTATAACCATAAACAAACCTATTATATCATGAAGTCAACAAAACACGGTCATTTTCTAAATACGATTCAAAGAATATGATCCTAAAATATCCATTAATGCATAATATAGACTACAATATTTTTTAAATTATTATGCTCTAACTCTTGATACATTTACTAAGTAATAATTAACTAACATAATCTTGTTGACAAGGGGGAAAGTGAAAGAGTGGAAGGAGAATTGAGGGAAATTAATTAGGTTTTAATTAAGGTGGTTACTCAATTGCATTTCTACTATTTATTTTCTCGAGTTATCATCATCATCATTGATAGAATATTACAATTTAATCCACATATTTTTTGATATGTGAAGAAATTCTCTTGGTGGGGCGGGTATGGGTATGGGGCAGGGGAGGCTAAAAACATACCCGCCCTATACCCATCAAACTTTTTGCGGGTTTTACCCATACCCGGTCAAAGCGGGAATTCCCCGCGTTGACTGGGTCGGGGGTGGTCGGGTACCCGCGACCATAGGTTTGATTGCCATCCCTATTTGGCATGTTAGTAATTCACTCGTCGAAATTCTCGTTGTCCCTACATAAACACTAATGCCAACAAATTAAACCACAGAAAAGAGTTTTGATAAGTACGACAAACACGCAAGGTTTGGGAGCCCACAAAATTACGGGCCTTGTCAGGAAACAGAGGGCTCTGGCCCAATCTGGTTTTTGATCCTTCCCCATCTTTGCCAGTATAGCTTGTAGGGCTGGGCATGCGGGCGGATCATCTGCGGGTTTGGGCCGACCCACCCATATTTGATCCGAATTTCGTTAAGTGGATGGGTTTGTGGGTGGGTGACGGGTTGCGCTGGGAGCCATCCGTCTGGTGGTAGGTGGGTTGTGGGTGGATGCGCGGGTGACCCGCTCAACCCAATAGCAAAAAGATCAAAGTCGTTGGCGCTAGAGAGAGGAGAGTGGAGACTTTAGACATAAAACTAGGACTGCTCGTAGAGTTTGAACCTCAAAGTCAACCTTCGAAATACCGATCCCCTCTTCTTCCCTTTATTTTTTCTCTAATTCTTGTTCCTAGATCACCGATCTTTCCTTTGTGGAATTATTTTCCTTAGTTCCTTGCACCTGATAATCATCTCAATCTGTAGAAAACTCTTTCATAATAGAATTTATATCCAATTTAAGAACTAATTCTCCCTATTTCATCTTCTTGTTTCCCCTGGTAACTCTCTTCACCTATTATCATGTCAAATTGTCTCCTTTATATTATATACATTGTGATGTGGTTGAACCCACAAACCCACCCGCATCATCCACCATCCGCCCGATCCAACCCAAGACTAAATGTGGGTGGGTGATGGGTTAAATTATCAATCCGTTTAAGCGAGGGTGGGTGCATTTTATGGTCAAAATCCACCCTACCACCCAATGCCCACCCCTAATAGCTTGTACACTGGACCCCTTTATTTGTTTTGTGCCCTCTCCGGGCTAAGGCCCTTTTTGGTTTTTGCTCTTTTCCCCTGACCAAGAACCTCGACGAGGAATCTCTAGGGACAATGTATTTGTGTTATTAAGGAGCTTATGTATTATTAGATAAATAAAGGACATATTTGTCTCAATTACTGCGCTGTAATAAGTCTGTCACCTAATTGGGTAAAATAAGCAGCATCTCCAACAGCTTTTGGGTCTGGGCCCTGCAGTAATATATAGAAAGATTGCATTGTAATTGGGTCGTCGTGTTAATAAACGCAACAAATTTGTTGTACTTTATGTCATCCAAGATATGCTTTAGCAGACCTAGATAACTAATCACCATTTGGGGCGCGGTTACAGAAGTGTGTTTTTGGCTTTTTGCTTTCCTGACGGAGTTTTGACCATTCTTGAAGTACACTATGTAACATATAATAAATAGGTAATTCAATTTTCAATTTTTTACGATTCGTATTCTCTTACCATCCAACGTTACATAAACACATATTTCCATCATAACTTTTCGTCAAAGTCCATCTACGACGGGATTGTGTTGCAGCAAGAAAACAGTTACTTCATCAGTATATTTAACTACATCTTTAGATTTGCATTTACCAACCGATGGCACCACACTTACGCGCACTTGATGCGGGTATGATTACCCCTTCCGACTCTCAATGAGTTCCCTCAATTGCGCAGTCTTATTTCCCCCTTTTTGTTAGATTTTTCTTTTCTTATTCGATTTTTGAACGTTAAATCACTAACCATATATTCCACCTAAGTTTACTTATTTCGTAGATCTCGTTCTAACCGAATATGAATTGTATGATTGGATATGATAATCCACGCACACCATGAATTCATTTTTGTTTCTATAAATTTCAGGACCCAAAAATCTATTCTTTTTTTCTCCTTCAAATCTCCTTTTGCGATCTCCTTGTTGAGTAAGAGGGCATGATGCGGGCATGTGGCAGAGATGAAGCGTTTTCTGAGAAGAGGGAAGAATCAAGAAATGCTTTTCCATGTGATTGTTCAGTGAGCGAGCGAGAGTGAGTCATCAGACTAATGAGTTAGCCCGCCCCACTGCCCACATGCACCTGTAAGTGTCATGAAGTAAAGCACACGTTATACAGTTGCAACAGAGTATCTGTATTAGAGTCTTCCCCAAGTAACCAATTTTTTATTTATTTTTTAATGTTTTCTTAGCATATAATGCTTGCTATGCGGAAAGAGAGACATAAAATGCTTAAATTGCTACTAATAATAACAGTGATAACTTCTTTTTTAACTGTGATAACTTACGGTAAAAAAAAAAAAAAGAACAGTGATAACCATTTTGCTCCTGCTACTGGAAATCTAGAACTACAGTGCCTTTTTGTTTTTCCTCCCAATTGTAGCATATATATGCTATTCACAGACAATAATAGTGAAGCTGAACTTTCAGTTGGTGAAAGTGGAAAGATGAATTTGAGCTTATTATTTTTAAGGGAAAAGTAGTTGTGAGCTAACTAACGGTCAGCTCATGGAAGCTGTAACTCATGTTTCCGCAAAATGGTAAAAAAAGGAAGAGAGATACATATGGGACTAGTGGATGCATGAAAAGGATGCTTCACCTTCCAATCCCCCTCAATTAGGGAACATGATCTAGATATGGAGGATGATACAAAGACACACCCCACGCCCAAATGTGTAAACACATTTTAAGTGGCAGGACGGTGGACCTTTGTCCCTCCACTTTAATGGTTCAATTTGTAAAGTTAGGAGATTTTAGTTAGTTTAGTTCGTTATTCATGGATGTGCTTTATGTTTGCAATTGAATCATCCCCCAAAACTATACTAGTCTAAATGTTTAACATTTTGCGTACGTTTCAGATATGTATCTGAAATGAAATTGATGATAAAATCGATAAAAGTAGCTAGTTGTTTGAGTATAATAGTAAACATCACGAAGTAACAGTAGTGACATCGTATTGGGCATGGTGTGTTACTTAGGAGCAAGGTTCAAAAAGGCGCTAGGCGTAAGGCGAGCGCTCGGCTCCTGACTTGCGCCTAGTCCGGTTAAGCGTAGCCTAGGCGTTCATAGCAGAAATGAAAAAAAAAAAATTAATGTGACATATTTTCTAGAATACTTCATATGATCACAAGTTCATCTAAAATTAAAAACGCCTAATTCTTAACGTTAACACTTAACATAACAAATGACAAGCAAGTAGTGATCATTTCCTAGAAGGAAAAGGACAAGCATGATATTTTGCTTGATATGTAATTGTAAAGTATTTTACTAAATTAGTCATAGATGGCAGACAATTTCGATGATCTACTCACAGTTGTTGTCGAGCGATCAGATTCTCTCTCAGCGGCGGCGAATCTAGCGATGAGCTCCTTCCACAAATGACGAACATCAGCAAGCTGGAGCTGAAAAAAGAATCACCGAAGGCGTCGCACCTAGAGCCGGGAAGAGGGCGAGTATCGACCTAAAGCGGCAGGTGGAGGAAGACAGACAAAGGGTTTGATTGTGGCTGAGGTTTTCCAACTTTTTGTGCGAGAATCGTTTTCTAGGAAGGGAGATGGAAAATAGGGTCGTTCAACTCTAACTACTAGCAAAATTTTAATTGTCCAAGGTGGCCGCTTAGTCGCTTTATGCACCGATTAGGCGCCATTAATCCTAAATTAAGCGCGCCCAGCGCTTTATGCAACGCTTTTGCCAAAAGCGAAGCGCTCTTCCATGCTTTGCGATTAATCAAGCCTAGGCGCGCTTTCTTGAACCCTGCTTAGGAGTTAAGACACAATTTCATTACACCACTCAACCGTTTCTATCTGATTCCAGCTAGTATCATTGACCTCCAGTGAGTGTCACTAGCTTCTGGTGCTTTGAGCCAAGTCTCAATAACTTGAGCTACTTGAATTGACCTGAGCTCCAGTTAATATGCGAGCGGACTGAGCTATAATCTAGTTGGATTGAGCTAGATCCAATAAAGATAAGCCGAAGCGAGCTATAGTTCGGCTCACATAACTAAACTTACCTATTCCCAATTCTCTTGAGCTAACCAAAATTCAATCACAAACATGTATAGCTACCACTAGCATTGTTGAACTAGTTAGCTTTCTTGATATATGACTTGATATCTTAGATACCGTTACCAAGTCTAGAGAGCTGGTATGAGCTCCTATATGCTCTTATGAGTTCCAATTAGCTTCTATAAGCTTATTAAGCTTTCCTTGAGAAATAATGCACCCATTATTACTAATCCAAAGTGAATGATCACAATAAAGCATAAACACTTGTGAATTTGAAAATAATTTGGAACATGTTGTATAATTTATTTGTTAAATAATTAATTTTATGTTATATTTATCATTTCATAATTTATTTACGAGATTTATCAATATAATCGTGTCTTATTTTGGCATTAAAAAAACACTATTTTAGCTTGACTACTTGGTTCTCCACTGCAGGCTACCTTTCTCCAGAAAATTCAGCAGGGGCACCAAAAAAGAAGAGAGGAAGATGATGAACCTTGTGACAATGTGGCACTCTCAAACAACTTGGATCCACCCCCTGTTTTCAGCTTTTAGTTGTCTAGCTCATAAGCCACAACACACACTAAAGTCAATTCTTATTGTTCTTCACGTTCTATTTTCAAATTTTTTTATGGGTAATATTTTCAAGAATAAACAACACCGCCAATTTGTCAATTCATACAAATAATAATAATACAAATTTGAAGACCGATTACAGAGAACTCTAATTTTTTGGTTCGAAAACTCTATGCACTAAGTTTGAATTCAAGAGTTCGTAAATTCAAGAATTGACTGTTGTCACTTCGAATTACTTTTTTTTATGAATATGGGTAAATTTCATGTTTGGTTATTGGGTTTACTAAAAAGTGTCATGTTTAGTCACTAGAAATATTTAATTTCAATGTTGGTCATCGAATTAGTCAGACAGTCCATGCTTGGTCACTCGAATCAGTCAAGCAATCCGTGTTTGATCACTCTACTTAGTCAAACAATCCATGTTTGGTCACTCGAATTAGTCAAACACAGACTGTTTGATTAATTTAAGTGACCAACATTAAAATTAAATATTTCTAATGACTAAACATGCCACTTTTTTTTTAGTAAACCCGATAACAAATTCTTCCTCATAACGAAAATAAGATGGTTGTGTTAGTCTCGTAATATCTGGGTAACTAAGCCCCTAATTCTCAGTGTAATCCTCCTCCCACTGACACCTAACCTCGCATTTCAAAATATTGTAATCACTATATTTTTTTAAGTTTGATTTACATGTAACGGTCGGATATCGGCACCCCGTAACGCCGTTACCGCCCCACCGCCAACAAGATATCAGCTAAGCAGGCCGCCCACCGTCAACGTCATAATTTCACAGTTATACTTATACTTCTTCTCTCCGTCTCCGCCTCTCCGGCCTCCGCTTTTTAAAAACATTTCTATTTTTATTTTTAACATTTTGAAGTTCTCGCTATTTCAAACTAAACACAGACACAGACCCCCACTTGGCCACACTGCTCTTCCCCTTGCTTCGTCTTCCTCAACCCCATTTTCCTCTCTCTAAAATAAATCCCCTCTCTCTGCTCTGCACCGCAGCTTTCTCTCTCTACAATTATCGCCACCATTGTGTATCTCGCTGACTGTCTGAAGCATTTCCTCCTTTCAGGCTCTTTTCTCTCCCTCTCCCACCACGTACGGTCGCCTGGTCTTTCTCCAGCTCTCTCTCTCTCATATCTGTATGTTTCTATATATAGATATTAATTTACATCGTCGGAATTCTTTCTTCCTTTTTATAATGTCCCATCGTTTCGCCGGATTTGGCCTCTGAGATACCTAATTTTGTCTGGATCCGAAATGCCGCCTCCCTCCTCTGAGAGTGTGGGGGGAACACGGCTGTGTCTTTGTTCATTGGTTGCTATGTTCATCTCTTCCGGCGGCATTGTATCGATCTCCGATTGCCGTCCGATGTCCTGCGCTCATTTGTCTTCGCTTATATCCTGTTTGTTTGTGCGGCTGAGTTGACTCAGTGAGCTGGTGTGTTTGTGGTCAATTGCTCATCCCAGTGAGCGAGTGGGAATTTAGATTCAATCTTTGACAAACAATTTTGATCAATGGCTGAGTAATTGTTTGCTTAACTTTGTTTTCCCCCCTCTCCGTTTGCAGGACGGTGAGAGTTTCCAATTTTGTTGGATAGGAGAGAGTAGTGTAAATCAATCTGTAGAGGAGGCTATAGATGGATTCTTCAGGGGTACAACAGAGGAGAGGAGGTGGTGGAATGGTGTCGCTATCTCCTTCTCAGACTCCGCGATCCACAGATAAAGCTGCTGTGAGGGATCTACGATCAGCAGATTCAGGTTCCAGTACCAGACATGACAAAGAGAAAGGAGTAAATGTGCAGGTTATTGTGCGTTGCAGGTCAGTTTTGAACCCTTGAGCTAACTGAACTGCCCCCTTCCTAAAACTTAATTTTCCCCATTTCAATGTTGTGTTGGTAATGAACTATCTCATGTTTCAATCAGCTTTACTTCTCTTTTGAAAATTGCAGGCCATTGAGTGAGGAAGAAATGAAGGTTCGTGCTGCACCGGTGATTTCCTGTAATGAAAGTAGAAGGGAAGTCACATCAGTTCAGAGTATTGCTAACAAGCAGATTGATAGAACATTCCAATTTGACAAGGTCACTCCTTGTTTCCGTATATTCTTTTATCATGTGTTGTTCTTGGAGAGTTGGAATTTTTTTCCTTTTTAGCTTTGGAGCTAATTACAGTGAATGATATGTTATGTTAGGTTTTTGGTCCTAGTGCCAAGCAAAAAGACTTGTATGACCTCGCAGTGTCTCCAATCGTGTATGAAGTTCTTGAGGGCTATAATTGCACCATCTTTGCCTATGGTCAGACAGGCACAGGAAAGACATACACTATGGAAGGGGGAGCTAGGAAGAAAGTGAGTTCAATTTCCTCAGTAGTGGATGTTAGCACATTTTTAGTTACTTGTTGCTGCATATGTTACTGAATTCGCTGCGTTCGTTGAATTTTCAGAATGGAGAATTTTCAGTTGATGCTGGTGTTATTCCTAGAGCTGTTGAACAAATTTTCAAGATACTAGAAGCTCAGCACGCCGAGTACAACATGAAAGTCACGTTTTTGGAGCTTTACAATGAGGAAATAACAGACCTTTTGGCCCTTGAAGAAACTCCGAAGTTTGTTGATGACAAATCGAAGAAACCCATAGCCTTGATGGAAGATGGCAAAGGTGGTGTTCTTGTGAGGGGTCTGGAAGAAGAGATAGTATGTACTGCTGATGAGATCTACAAAATATTGGAGAAGGGCTCTGCAAAGCGGCGTACAGCAGAGACTCTTCTTAACAAGCAAAGTAGTCGTTCTCACTCAATATTTTCCATCACCATTCACATTAAAGAAGTTACTCCGGAGGGGGAAGAGATGATAAAGTGTGGAAAGCTGAATCTTGTTGATCTAGCTGGGTCAGAGAACATTTCACGTTCTGGAGCACGAGAGGTATGGAAGGAAGGCCTATGATGGGGGCATCACTTTTGTTAAAATACTTATAGGAGTGAAATGTCTATCTGCAGTATTCACGACTGACTAGGTAGCATTTCAGAACTGTAATTAAAATTGAATGTATAAATGCTTTTGGTACAGGGTAGAGCAAGGGAAGCAGGAGAGATTAATAAAAGCTTGCTTACACTTGGTCGTGTGATAAATGCTCTTGTCGAACATTCTGGCCATATACCTTATAGGTATGACTATGCAAGAAGTGAGCTAACTGTATCTACGGTTTGTTTGTTTTTAATTGTAGTGTTTGGTCGGCTAAACGTAATTGTAAATATTTGCTTGGAATCTCAGGGACAGCAAATTAACAAGACTACTGAGGGATTCACTGGGAGGCAAAACAAAGACATGCATTATTGCTACTGTATCACCATCTATTCAGTGTTTGGAAGAAACACTCAGTACACTAGATTACGCACATCGTGCCAAGAATATTAAAAACAAGCCAGAGGTTAGTGTTTCTCTGATCCTTCTTGATTGATAGTTTGATACAGTTCAAACTTCTTCTCGTTGCAACATTCATTTACATGTTGGTTGGCTACCGTTTCCAGATCAATCAGAAGATGATGAAATCTGCCATGATCAAGGATCTGTACTCTGAAATTGACCGATTGAAGCAAGGTATTTGGTTCTTCCACAATTTCCTGAAAGATTTCCCACAATTTGTGCTGAAATCGATTTTGAGCTTATTTGATTTCTCTGCATCTTATCAGAGGTTTATGCTGCGAGAGAGAAAAATGGTATCTATATCCCACGAGATCGCTATCTGCAAGAAGAAGCTGAAAAGAAGGTGTGCGCCTTGTCTAAATTTTAATTGATAAAATAATTTGGTGTGACTTTTCACTATCTCAATATTACTGTTTATAAATGCAGGCCATGGCAGAAAAAATAGAGCACATGGAAATGAATTCAGAGTCTAAAGACAAGGTATCTTTAATGATACTACATTTCTTGCATTACTACTTTGGGAAAATGGAAAATAATCTGTTTGTTTTTATCATGCGACCAGCAATTGATGGAGCTTCAGGATCTCTACAATTCTCAACTTAATTTGACAGCAGACCTGTCTGAGAATCTTGACAAAACGAAGGTACTTACAAATTGTTGGACATGAATATATACTCATTTTCTTCCTAAAATGGTAGAGTGGTATCTTGCTTGGTGGATGTTCTGAAGATATTTGTTTTCTCTAAATCCAGAGGAAACTTGAAGAAACTGAAGATTCTTTGTCAGATCTTGAAGAGAAACACAGACAAGCAAATGCAACAATAAAGGAGAAAGAGTTCTTGATATATAATCTTCTGAAATCTGGTTCGCATACACTTTCTTTCATTTCATCTTTCTCTTCCATTAAAGCATCACCTGGAATATGGGCGATTATCTTGAGAGATAGTTAAAGGACCCTTTCCCTGCTCTTAGATGCCTTAAGATCCAAGGCTGTTATTTTTTAATATTATAACAACGCATACCAATTGTCACGTTTTCCGGCAACAAGACAGCTGGTGGCAACATGATTGTTTGAGAGGCTGAAGCTTTATTATCTGTATGATTCAGAGAAAGCATTGGTGGAACGTGCAGTTGAGCTGAGGGCAGAACTTGAAAGTGCTGCATTGGATGTATCCAGTCTATTCTCCAAAATTGGTATGCATTGGATGATCATTGAGGTGAAAAATTGGTTGTCTAGTCTCCCTAGTTGTTTCCGCTTACTAATACCAGTTGTCCTTCAGAGCGGAAAGATAAAATTGAAGATGGAAATAGAGTCCTTGTTCAGAAGTTCCAGTCCCAATTGACCCAGCAGCTAGAGATATTGCATAAGACTGTGGCATCCTCAGTCACCCAACAAGAGGCACAACTGAAGGACATGGAAGAAGATATGCATTCTTTCGTGTCAACCAAGGCTGAGGTAAGAGCCAAAGTGCAATACTTGTCTTGTTTCTTCATGCATAAGTACCACAAGTCTGAACAAATCTCTGATTATGACATCCATTACTCAGGCTACTGAGGAACTTCGTGGAAGGGTTGGCAAGCTGAAAATTATGTATGGATCAAGGATCAAAGCTTTGGATGATATGGCTGAACAGCTTGAAGGAAATTCTCAATCAACCTTTTCCAATCTAAACTCTGAAGTATCTAAGCATTCACACGCCCTCGAAGATGTAAGTATCTCGTTTAACTGCTTTTGTTGGAGTTAGCCTTATCTTGCACGATTTTTGTTAACCATCATCTCTGTTTACAATTCAGCTCTTCCATGGAATATCATCAGAGGCTGATGCATTACTTAATGATCTCCAAAGCAGTCTACACAAACAGGAGGAAAAGCTTACAGCCTATGCACAACAGCAGCGCGAGGTATGGACTCAAGTCTTTTTTTTTTTTTTGTTTAATTTAGAAGTGTTACGTAGATAGTATAGAAAATTCTAGTTCCTTACTGATCATGTTTCTTTTGTTAATGAATCACAATTCACAGGCACATTCCAGAGCAGTGGAAACTGCACGATCAGTCTCCAAAATTACAGTCAATTTTTTCAACACTCTGGATTCTCATGCTTCCAGCCTGAACCACATTGTGGAAGAAGCACAATCTGTAAATGATAAGAAGTTGTCCGATCTAGAAAAGAAATTCGAGGTGGTTACTTTAAGCACTATTTTTGTTTGTAGGATGTGCAGGCTTCCTTTTTTTTTTAACATTAATGTATTCATTTTCATCATTAGGAGTGTGCTGCTAACGAGGAAAAGCAATTGTTAGAGAAAGTGGCAGACCTTTTGGCAACGTCAAACCAAAGGAAGAAGAAACTGGTATGTCCTGCTTTCCTGCACAAGTTTTCACATAGTGCAATCTTTACTTAGTTGTCGAAGAAACACTCTCTGGTGGTTTTGAAACTAACAACTCAGAGAATGCGTTCCTCAAGGTTCAAATGGCTGTCCATGATCTACGGGAGAGTGCTAACAGTAGAACCAGAAAACTGCAGCAAGAAATGTCCACCATGCAAGATTCAACATCTACAATCAAAGCAGAATGGACGGTCCATATGGACAAAACAGAATCGAACTACCGTGAGGATACATCTGCTGTGGAGAATGGAAAGGAAGACTTGGAATCAGTCCTTCACAACTGGTATACATGGGGCAAAAGAAGATTTTTTTTTTTGTTGCTCTTATTAAGTTGCATTGTTTGCAGGTACTAAGTTGATGATTTCTGTTTCACTTGTGGTTTTATTAGTTTGGACATGACTCAAATGGGTGCACAACAGTGGAAGAATGCCCAAGAGTCGTTGCTTCACCTAGAAAAGACGAATGTTGCATCCGTTGATTCCATTGTCAGGTACTCAGCTCTTCCATATGTAGCGGTTTTTCGATTGTAATTGCTCTAACTAGTTGGGTGTCCGATTCTGAATTGAAGGGGAGGAATGGAAGCGAATCAAGCCCTACGTACAAAGTTTTCATCAGCTGTATCAGCTGCACTCGAAGATGCAGATGTGGCCAACAATGATCTCCTTTCCTCCATTGATAGTGAGTTTACCTAATATAGCAACATATTGCATTTCTGGAGTAACTTACCATCTCGTTGTAGTAGAAACCCCAACATGATGTTTCCTGTGGCAGACGCACTGAAACTCGACCGTGATGCATGTGGGAATATGAATGCCATGATCGGGCCATGTTGCGAGGATTTAAGGGAATTAAAGGGTGGTCATCACCACAAGGTAGTGGAGATCACTGACCATGCCGGGAAATGCCTTCTGGAAGAATACACGGTACATAATCAATCTAAACCTCCATCTTTGTAGCGCGATTCATTTCGTTTAATGTCCTCGTCAACAAAAAGGTACTGAATTTTTGTTGGCACAGGTGGATGAACCATCTTGTTCAACACCGAGGAAGCGGGGATTCAACCTGCCGAGCATTGGTTCAATCGAGGAGCTCAGAACTCCTGCATTCGAGGAGCTGCTGAGATCATTCAGATCCGCAAAGCAGCATCACCTGCAGCTATCCAATGGAGACATCAACAAGAACGTCGCCGCTGCTGTGGGAACCGGAACCTACGAGTCCGCTAATAACAATTCCCCGCAGTCACTGAGAGACTCCAGAGTTCCTCTCACTGCTATCAACTGAAGCAGGGAGCCAACTTTAGGAGGATAGATATATCAAAGCAGACTTCCCTTCTCCATTCTTTTGGTGGCGAAGGAAGCGATGCAGGTGGCGATCTCTGTGTGTGTGTTCTATGTACAGAAAGACATACATTCATTTTGTGTGGCCTGGTGCTGAGTGTGGTCTACTTAAAGTATATATTAGAGAGAGAGAGAGAGAGAGAGAGAGAGAGAGAGAGAGTTTTGATTGATTCATTGGGTAATATTATTGATTGGTTTTTCTGTTCGTTGGTAACACTCTTTCCTCCCAAGTTTTTTGGGGTGAATTCATGTGTACTACAAGGCACGCCAAAACATATGCGGTAGTCGTGGTTGGCGCTAGAGTTAATCACAGACACAGTGGGCAATGAAATGATGGAAAACTGCTCCCCCTTCCTTTTGTTTGGCTTCTGTCTTTGTGATGATGAATCATGAAACCGACCGTTAGTTGTCGTGTCATGTCCATCTGTAAGTTTCAAGTTGTATGTATGACTTCATAACTTAAAACACAAGTCGACCGAAACAATATGAACACTTAGCCTTGAGATTTGAATTCAGGGTATGGTGATATTATTCACGTATTACCACTACGTTAACTCGTCAAATCAGTTGATTAATTAAACGATACGAACACTTCGCCTTGAGGTTCGAATTCAGGGTATGGTAATATTATTCTCATATTACCACTATGCTAACTCGTCAAATCAGTTAATTAAAGCTTACTACATGAGTACACGGAGACTGCCGAATGGGGGGTAATTGGACTCTTTCATTTCTCAGACAATACAGAGGCTAAGTAACAACTATGCTATTGAACAAAAGCAGAGGACGAAAAGGTTATTTATGAGAGGGTAAAAAGATACAAGGTAACAAAAGGACCATTTTTTTAATCCTGTTTCCTCACTAGGAACCAAAAAAATAGACATGCCTTGTTGTGGAGTGGAGGCCAGCCTAACTAACGCAATAGCTCTCCTCCATGGACGAGTAGAACGACCACTTTTAACACCTGCCAACCACAAACATAAAATGCACTCAGAATACAGAAACTATCATCTGGGATCAAGCATAAAGTAGGTGCACCAAAGGAGTTGAGAATAGTACCTGAGATGTCGTTTCCTCAGTCACAAACTTGAACTCAATAGCCCACCAGGAGGTTCTCCAAAAGTCTCGTCGTCGAAATCCTGATCTGTCGAGTTCTCGTGACATCTTAACTTGGGGTGGTCTTGATGAGGAGGAACATCTAGGCTGCTGAGGGCATCCCAAACCATCGAATGGTGGTGGTCTTGTAGCATGTTGCCACCATGCTCCGGCAAATGACCGGCATCCACAACATCATCCTGTCTCAAGTCACCAAAATTAACATCGTCTCTTCTTCCATCATCATCATCCACACCACCAGGAGGGTCGACATTCAGATCGGAAGAACCCGGTTCAAATAATCCAGATTGGTTACCGACACCAGTACCATTAAGCCCCTCTAAACTGACCCCAACTTCTTGCTCGCTTGACTGATCAGCAGCAGGATCCTTCTTTTGCCTCTTCCACTTTTTGGTGGATGAAGTGCCATCATCTTCAAAATCTTCTTCCTCTCTCTCCCTGTGCAAGTAAACCCACAGCTTCCTATCACCATCGAACTGGACACAAGGATCGCGTTCGTAATGCAACCTATCCAATGCACCACTCACAACTTGATTCACTTGGGCGTCCGAGACATCCTCAACAACAAACTGAGAATCCCTGATCAGAGTGCACACATCAGCTCTAGTTCCAATACTGCCGGGCAATCTGGCAGCCGCATCTCTCACGAGGCAGAGAATTGTGACATGAGGAGGCCGATCGCGCTTCAGCATGAAATGGTCTCTCGCTTTCGAAGTCGGCTTACCTCCGCACCTTCTCAACGGTGCAACAATTGACTTCCGACCATCTGCAGCCGTGTATGAGAACGCCCTGTCGGGGATCGAGTACCTCAAGACTTCTTCTTTCCTGAAGTAAGTCCTTACTTCTTCTGAGCTTGGGTTGATTGTGCTGAGACTCTTCTGAGCTCTCAAGTCCCTGAATCTTTCCTTCTCATCCAAGCTAGTCTGCATCATAGATAGAGGTGGCTCAGGGAGACTTCCAATCTGTTGAAGCGTCTCTTGACCACTTTTAAGCCAGTTTGCAAAAGAATCCACCAGCTTGACCAGCATTTTGTGCGGCAGGCCCCAATATTCAGGAGATGTAACCTCCTCATCGGCGGCCTCCTGATCTGCTGAATTATTATTTTGAGAAACTGGACCAACCCAAGACCAGGATTTTGTTTCCTTCTCATACATGACAAGCGCCTTCCAACCTTTTGCTCCAAGAGGAGCAGATCTCGAGGAAAATATCTTAAGAACCCCTCTGACCAAGTCCTGGAGTGGCTCCTGAGTCTCGAGAATACAAGGGTCGCCTGGATTTGATCTCACAAGGTTGACAATCTCCTGAACCGTTAGAGAAGGGACATTTGAACGAGCAGGGGCATCTAGGTTCTCAGGAGAGACAAACCCATTTGTTGTACCACCGTCTTCATCATGCGGTCTGTTCTCCTGAATAGGTCTTGTCACAACCTCCAAGGAGTCCTCAGGAAGAGGAGTGATCATTGCCGATCGAACTGCAGAAAGTAGGTGGACAATCGAAAACGAGAAGCATGTATGAACAGTAGGTGTGATTGGTATGTAAGGTTTTTTCTGTGGTTTTATTTCCACCACCTCCACTTCTGGCAATTTGATTTCAGGTGGCTCTTGGGTTTCTAGATCAGCAGCAGCTACACTTTCAATCCTTGCTTTCTTTTTCCCCTTTTTCTTCAATGGAACAACAGGGTCATCCATTTTTTGCATTTCAAGGGCAGTAGACTCCATATTTACATCCTCCTCTCTGCCATCCGTTGCTTCCACTTTTACCGCCCGTTTCTTTGTTACGGTGTTGCATGCTAGTAATGAGACGTCCGACTTGCTATGATTATTATGGACACGAGGTTCAGTTTTATGTCCCTTCTTCCCCAATCGAATTACTGCCTTTTGAGCTTCTTCATACTTTCCATCCTCTTCATCAACACTGTAATCATGGCTCTCAAGAGCTTTCTGATTTCTTTCTGAAGGATTGGACTTCAGAGAGAGCATTCGCACCCTGTCATTAGAGTCACCTCGGGATCTTCCTCCATTCTTTCCCAACTTATGGGCTCCCTTTCTGTTGCTGTCCATCATTCTGGCATCAGAACTATCCAATGGACTGCTGTCATGCATCTTTCCTTTGTGTTTAGCTCTTGACAGATGTCCTGAAACATGACCAATGTCATCATCAAGCACATCCACATTCTTGGACAAATATGGTACTCCCTCAAATGCATTTGAATTTTCCTGGACATCCGGGCTAGTAACATAGCTGCTGGCCCTTTTAGCAACTGACCTGGACTTTGAGAAGGAAGATTTAGAAGTCTCCATCCCTTGGGAGTACAAGGACTTGTTATGAATCAAAGGAGTGTTATCCTCTTCCTCATCACCTTGATCAAAGTCTTGGGACGAATCTGATTCTGTGTCTTCACCTCGCATGTACATTCCCTTACCTCTTGCTGTTGTTCCCTTGACATGTGCCCCATTCTGTACAAAATTTCTCCTGGCCTTCTCACGTAATGGTCTCTCTCTCATTTCAGAAAGAAGAATTCTATCGTTCAAATGAGAGGACGCTCCATAACCTCTGGAGTTAAAATCAGGGGAGTCCCGTCCTGGTTTTCGTTTCTTACTTCTGATATTGAACTCGTCGTATTTAGATGACGAATCCATGGGGAAAGCCTGTTCGTATCTATTGTTATGCCAGATGAGTTCAGAAGCATTCAATGAGTCAACTCGGTTTCCTTTCAGAGGCATCTCTTCACCTCGGAGTTTCAGGTGATTCATCTTATCACTGTAAGGAAACTGCTGAAAGGTTTCAGAATACTTCATCTTTTTACCCATTTGATGATCAGAACTTCGGACATGAGGTGGCTTAGTGAACATTTCCTCTACTGGCTGCCGGCTAGTATTTCTGTGCTTACCATAGGCATTGATATCACTCTGCAAAGAAAAGGGTGAACCCATGAAACTGTCATCACCTAAATTATTTCTTCTCGGTCGCTGCTTATTCCTTCCCAGCTTCAGACCTCTGGATTTGTCGATCACATTACCATGTGCCATAATACGATCTTGTTTGGCACCAACTAGATGCATTGCCTCGTCATTATCTTCATAGTCATCATAATCATAACTATCACGTATTCTAATCTGATCCTGTAGCCGCAGGGCAGGCCCAGCTGATTCATAAGCAGCATGTTTATTCTGACGAAGAAGGGGCACTGGCAACCCATATGCCTTGGTATTCATTTCCATACCATCATAATGAGAAGGAATAGGACTCCTCATATCTCTAAAAGATGGTGGTGCTTTCGACCCAGCTAACTTGAGCATACCCTTCAAACTCTGTTTCCCATACTTCGCCAGTTCCTTTTGTGGCACAATACGTGAAGAAAAATCTGGAGGTGAGGCAAGCATGTGTAGAGAGTTGCGATTCAGTTTCAAAGCACCTTTTCTGTCCTTGGCCCCTTTATCCCACAAAGTATTATCACCTGATTCCAGTTTCTCAGACGAGTCACTGCCAATATCTTCATCCATCTTGCCATACAACAAACTCTTTTGACTCTTCATTATCTTCAGAACCCTAAGCTTATCGTCAATGCTATACCCCCTACATGTAAGCCAAGCATCCCTTATCTCACACAGATTGCTAACCAAATTATTCTGATAGTTGCGAAGAAGATGATAGTGCTGTCTCTTTTGGAAAAAAGTCAAACCCTCTTTATAAAGAGCAACCCTAGGTTCACACAACCCTCCTTTTAGCATCTGAAACAGCATCTTCATAGGGCTGCCGAAATGGACATTCGTACCTTCAAAGAGCTCTTTAAGAGTTTGCATACAAGTGAGCTCGTCCATGTCAGGCAAGTACTTGGTCAGGCTAACCCTTTCCTCTTCAGACAGGACATCATTCCACACATCCACAGACAGTATATCTTCCAACCCTGAAAGATCATACAACTCGAAAGGAACACTGCAAGTCAGATCACCAATTTGACAAAACTCGGCCCCAGTATCCCCCAACTCCAACAAGTCGAAGTCGTCAGATCCCGCCCCTGAATCCGCATCATCAAACTCGTCATCGTCGCCTTCGTCATCTGATTCAGCTGCAGACACCTTCCGGTGAAGCTCATTGTCATCACCATCATCACCACCATTATCATCACTGGACATACTTCCCCTGCTATTGGGTGAAGAGTCTGGATCAAACCGAGACACCTTAAAGTTGTTCTTCTCAATCGCCATCACTCCCTAAATCAGAAAACACAGCTCCCCTAAAACTCCTCCCCGAATCAACAACAAACAGCTCCACCACACCCACTACCACACTGTACACGCACACCTACAGAATTTATCCAGCCAAAAATAGCATCAACACCCGAGCCAAAAAAAAAAAATATCACGAAGCCTCCAATTCAATTGAAAACCCTAGACAATAACAACAACAACAACAACAACAAACAAAAAAACAGGAAATCGATAATAAAACCGGAGCGCGGAGGAGCTAGCTCAACAGACATCGCAAATCCGAAAAATTCAAAAACAATATAAGAAGCGAGAATTCGAAAGCAGATCGGAATTGGATTGGAGTCGGTACCTCGTCGTCGTTGGGAGGAAGCAATAAGCAATTCGGAGCTCGACGTGGAAAGAAGGATGGAAATTATGTGGTTGGCAGGGAGCGAATCTGGAGAAACCCTAGGAGGAGAGAGGAGGAGGCAGTTAACCGAATTGCAAGGGGAAAAAAAGTAAAGCGAGAAGGAAAGGGAGAGAAAGAAGGAAGAAGATGACAGGGAGGAACAAGGAAGAGAAGGGTGGAGAAGACGATGATGACGTGGATGGGCTGGGACCGTCTGATATTCGGGTGGAGAACAAAAGACGAAAATGGGCACGGCCAAGAAGAAAGAAAGAGAAGGAATGCGCCGCGCAGGCGCAGGCAAGGAAGGAAGGGAGGGTTTGGTCGTGTGAGAAGGAGATGGGGGCGGGCGGGGAAAGAGGTGACGAGTTGACTCAGTTGGGGAAGAAGGAGGTGAGTCAGGAACTCGGCCATGATGATCCGGTTGGGGCAGTTCGGGCAGGGTGGAACCAAGATTTTGCAGGCATTAAAGTTTATCAAAACAATACAAGGAAAATTATATTTAATATTACGATATATGAATTATGATTAAAATAACTCAAAATACGAACTAAACTCAGTGGCCGAGGACCCACCCTGTTTCGAAAGAAAATTGGTTAAATTAGGTACAATAGTTAATTTAATTGATGTCGAAAAATTGGGGTCTAATTGATAATAATTAATGGAGAGGTCTTATGTTTAGATCTTTGTGATCTCATTTCTTAAGTACACGGTATTCCAATTATGGCAAACTTCAATTCTGTATAATCTGACTTTCTTATGAGGAGAGTGCTAGTAAATGGTATAAAATATAGTATTGAATCTATCCTTACAACTCAATTTATTGATATTAAACGTTTCTTAACAAAGAACATCATTCGAAAGCGAATGACTAAATTAATCGTGAATTATTTTTTGTGTAACATTCATTATTAAACTTTTCTGAACAATTCGAGTTATTGATAGTAAACGATTCTTGACAAAGAACATCATTTTAAAGAGAACGACTAAGTAAATCATTAATAATTATTTGGTACATAGTGATAATCTTGATAGTTTCGATTACTAATGTATTTTAATTAAACAAAATTTTTCAATATAAGATTATATCATGAAAGTTAACAAAAAAAGTATTTTATAATGTGTATTTTTTTTCTAAGTGGACCCACGTTAGACCAAATACTGACTACATCACTGTCTAACTATAAACTTTTAGCATGATAGGTTCATGATGACTCGATATTTGCACATGTTTTTCCCCTTTGTTTCTTGATCGTTTAAGCTTGCATTATCGCTTCTTTGGCCTATTTTACGCTAGGTTGTGTTCCTTTGTTACGTTTCAGGTTCTAGCACATAAAGTGAAGCATAGGCGCAAGTTTCAAGTCAATCAGAGATCAATTGGCGATTTGGGAGAAGAAACTCTGGCATGACCTGAAGAAGAATGGATTTCTACCTCACTTTATGGACAAGGAATCGTGCAAGCTTGTAATGAAAAGAAAGAGGACGAGACTACGAGCGTCTGGGATCAAACGGCGACTGATTCGGAGTCCGAACGAGGGAGAAACGAAGCATTGAATATAGGGGAACAGGTTCGGCAGTAAAAACACGGGCAGGAGGCCTTCAGAACACGGCCGTGTTCTGTGGCCGTGTAATTAACCCTAGCCAAAGCACGGGCGGGCTGAGGCAAAGCACGGCCGTGCCCTCGACCGTGCTTTGGCCATTGATGCCCTTTTAGGCAGATTTTCAGCCAAAAGAGGGGGGATTCGAGTTTTAGAGAGATAGAGCAATTCCTAGAGAGAGAAAGCGACGAACAAGAGTCTCCAAGTGCCCTAGATTGATCTTCATGACCATTGGAGCTTGGCTTGAGCTTGGTGAAGTGCCGATTCAACGTCCAGGAGCAGAAATCCATCTTCACAGTATGATTTCCGCATCTGATTCTGCTTTTGCTTCTTTCTCCATGGAGTAGTTCTCCCATTCATCTGGGTGTGGGAAACCCTAGTTCTGTATGTTGGGATTGATTGTATGAACCCAAGTACTGTTTCTATGAATTGATTATATTCGATTGAGGTTTGAATGATTGAATGGCATGAATCCTGATCAAATTCCTGTTGTTTCTGCTTTAACCTAGAATGAGAATATCCGCCTAGGTTAATAGAGTATCCTTAATTGAAGGTAGTGAATTGGTGACTTTAGTCGAGGAGCCAATTCACTATTCTGTACCGAATTCAATTCGGTAGTGGAGGTTTTGTTCATAGGGCCTCAATCTGTTTACTCCGGTGGAGGTTAGTCGCCCGCTAGAGACTCAGATTGAGAGGGTCTGAAGACCTTTAGTCGAGACTTCGGACTGTTTGAGAACCTTCCGCAGTATAACTTTCATAGAAATTGAACTTGGTAATTACAATCCGGCTTAACTGCAGACTAGGGGGAACCATATCCGGGTGACCTCTCTTAACCTGAAAACAACCGTTTAGTTGCTTTGCTTGCTTGTTAGTTTAGATCTTCACTAAAGTTTCATTGCTAGATAATACGAATTCACTGAGTAGTCATCACATCTAGGACCCGGGTTGACATTAAAACCCAAACCCGCTATACTACGCTTTAGGAAGTGGTTACACTTGGCCATTTTCTAGAGTGACAGTAGGAGTGAGTCAAGTTTTTGGCGCCGTTGCCGGGGACGGCTAGGTTGTTGAAGAAAAGTGATTTATGTTACTTTAGCATTTTTATTTTCGCATTGGTTGTTTGTTCCTCCCACTTGTGCCTTCACGGGGTTGCATTGCTTGATTGTGTGCAGATAGTGCATGACCCGTAGCCAGTCGGGAGGTTTACTGTCGTTGGATCCAGAGATTGAACGCACCAGCCGCCAACTTAGGAGACAACAGCGAACTAGACTGGCTACGGAAGAGCGTAGAGACGGCCAATTGAGCAGCGAGTCCGAGGACGAGTACGAGATGGAAGGCGACCACAACCCACCTCCTGGGAACCAGTTCCTGGGGAACGACCCCAATCCCCAGGCAGCTGGGGGCCATCATCATCCACCACCATCGGGTCCCACCTTGGAGTACTACTACACTCCGCGGATTGCTGACATCCGCCCGGTCATCCTCTATCCACCCATTCCAGCAAACAACTTCGAGATCAAGCCATGCTGGATTCAACTCATTACATCCTCTATCCAGTTCCATGGCTTGAAGGATGAGGAGGCCCGGGTACATCTTTCCCGTTTTCTGCAGCTGACGAACGGGTTCAAGCTGAACGGTGTCCCGGATGACGCAATCCGACTTCACCTCTTCCCCCATTCTCTGGCAGGGAATGCTAAGAGGTGGTTGGAGACCCAGCCCCCACTGTCCATCACTTCTTGGGACGATCTGGCAGACAAGTTCGTGCACAGGTACTATCCGGCATCGAAGACCACAGAGATTCAGCGGGAGATCACTCACTTCCGCCAAGAGCTAGATGAGTCACTTCGTGATGCATGGGAGCGGTACATGGGATACTTCTGGCAGTGTCCCCATCATGGCTTCAGTGATGCATTCACAGTGGGGAACTTCTACAGCGCCCTCACTCCAGACAGCCAGAGGGTGATTGAGTCTCTATGCCCAAGAGGGGATATTCTCACTAAGACTCCACCCGAGCTGAACCAGATGATTAGTACCTTGGCTGCCCGAGATCATTCCTGGGGGCAGAACAGCAGAGGTAGAAATTCCCGGGACCGGGGTGTGCACGCTATGGAGGCCAGGTCCGGGTTAGAGCAGCAGGTGGCTGAGTTGGTGCAGACCTTGAAGCAGCCCAACAGTCTCCTTCTGGGCCGAGGCACAGCTACGCCTCCAGTAGCTCAGTGCCAGTGGTGTGAGAGCCCGAATCACTGGGTGGAGGACTGTCAGGCTATGAGGGAGTCCTCTACTCCCCAAGAACAGGTGGACTTCATCGCAAATGCTCGGCGCCTGGACCCATACAGCAACACCTACAATGAAGGATGGCGCCAGCATCCCAACTTCTCCTGGAGCAGCAACAACACCAAACCACCTGGTTTCCCAGCACCAGCAGGTGGTTTTCAGCAGAGGCAGCCCTTCCAGTCTAGGCAGGGGCAACCACCACAGCAGCAGCCCTACTTGCCTAGGCAGGGGCAGCCATTCCAGCAGCCCCAGCGACAGTATGCCGAGCCAGCAGCAGCCCCAGCTCCCGATAACCAGATGACTGATCTGAAGAATATTTTGGCGACATTCATGACCACTAGCCAGACGAATTTCACGAGGGTGGACCAGAGCATAGCCTCTCTGGAGGCAGGTCAGAGGAACCAGGGTGCTATTCTACAAGATTTACAACACCAAGTCGGTGCCCTAGCGCGCCAACTTACTGCCCGGGCCCCGGGGACTCTACCTGCCACCACCATCCCCAATCCACGGGAGCCGCACGAGCAGCTGGATGCCATGTTCACCAGGAGTGGCAGGCCCACATCGGGTGATCCTGCCCCGACCAGGCAGGAGGAACCACTACCTGCTTCAGCACTTCCAGCCGATGATACAGAAGTGCGGGTGGAGAAGGAAGCCCCTGCTCCCAAGCCACAACCAGTGGTTAAGGAGCACATACCTCAGCTTCCCTTCCCCACTCGCCTACACAAAGACAAGCTGGAGAC